TTGAACTCCAGGCCTCCCACTTGCTACGCAGGCACTCTACCACTGGAGCCCGTTCATCAGCAATTTTTTTGTGTTGGATATTTTCAAGATAGGGTCTTGCAAACTATTTGCCCAGGACTGGCTTTGAACCTCAATCCTCCTGATCTCTGCCTCCTGAGTAGCTAGGATTACAGATGTGAGCCACCGGCATCCAGCTTATCATTTGCTGTTAAGTGTGTTTGGTTTTCTCCTTACGGATATGTTTGATTTTTATATACCCAAATAGCAACTCACTCACTTTGCCCCCACTGCTGAGATACTTCCTCACCATAGAAGAAAGAACTCCACCAAGAGGGACTCCCCAGCACGTCATGCTGGGCTTGGTATTCATGAGGAACATGAGGCTCCTCTTACCTCTGATAGACTATCTTGTAGGAATGCAGCTGTACTGGACTCCTGATTGTCTAAGGCCATGCAGACAGCAGCTGATTTATGCTCAAGTTCAATGACATCTATTGAGTAGAGCTGCAAGAAAACTGACAACAGAGTCCTTGCTGTGTTATGAAAGACCCTGAGGTCTACCGTGCTGGATCTAGAGGTGCAGATTTATAGTCTATACCAGTCACAAGCCTCTTCAGCATCTCACTTCTTCCAAGGTTGGACTTCAACCTTAAATCATGGCAACAAAGATATAGTTCAGAGTCTTCTATTCATGTGACTACTTGTTGAGAAAAACAATGATAAAGGCAGGCTTACCTGCTCATATTTGCCAGTGTTTCTCTCCTACCACTGCTGGTATTTTGTATCAGGTAACACTTGTTGGGAGGGGGCTGTCCTGTGTACCATTGGCTGTTTAGCAGAATTCCTCCACCCACTAGATGCGGGGGCACCTTCCTCTGGTTATGACAACCGAACATGTCTCCATACATTGGCAAATGTCACTGGGAGGCAAGATCATCTCCAGTCAAGAACCACTGGTAGAGATCCCTAAATTATTCTGCCAGATTCATGAAAAGATCCTTGACTCCCGGTGATACGAGATCCTCAACTGACCCATGGCTCAAACTGAATGGTTTCTAGGACTGTATCCTGTTAAACTATTTGTACATATGTATAAAGACTGATTTATACCAAAACAGAGACACTACCTGAATGTGCAAAATGACAACTGAACTTTACAAACTACTTTCATACTTCTTAGAAAATGCGTCTTCATCTATGTATCTTTTGGGCAAAGGACGTGAGATGAAGAAAACCTGAATTGATCATATTCTTCAGTCCTTGACACCCTTGGTCTCTTCCCTCACACATGTATACACATACATTTATATATTTTCTTGCTCCCCATTCCTCAATTCTCATTTCCCTCACTCCCCGAGGAGGTCTATCCTAATGTGTTTAACACACATCCTCTCGTACTTTTGTGAATGTGTACTAGTGTGAGCATGTTCTTTTCATTTAAGCAGAGCCCCACCATCACTTATCCACAATCTTTCAACCTATGAAGCTCTGACACCAAAAGTTTGTTTTTTCTTAAACTCACTTAACAGAAAAACGTGACGTGCAGGTTATGTGTAGCTCATTATCCACTCAGTGTGACTATTCCTACACTTTACTACAGAAAATATTGTGCTTGATCATGAGACACTGCCTCTATTCTGTCGGTGACCCAATTGTTTTGAATTCCAAAACAAACCTAACCCTAAGGATTTTAATTTGTCCATGTACAGAGTTATATGCAGATCTTATTCTGCTTTTGTTTTTACCTATTTACCTAGTAGTATAGTTTCACGCTGTATCCATGTTAGGGCAGGTGCCCCTAGTCCATTACTTCTAACCGAAGAACACCTCCATGAAGTGGGTCCCCCACATTTTACCTACCCACTCTCTCACTGGTGGGCAGCTAAACTGCCTGCAGCTCCCCTCTACCAAAAACACCAAGTTAATGAACGTCCTCCTACATGCTCTTCCACAGTCTTGTAGGAAAATCTCTTTGGTATGTACAACCAGAACAGAATGACCAGGTCGTAAGGTGCCACATGCTAATCTGGCCACATAAAGCCAGAAAGCCTTTCGACAATGGCCGCACTGGCTACTCTCACTGTACAAGGAATCTTGGAGCCCACAGCTCCTCAGCGCTTGCCACAGCATATTTCAGTTTTTGCCACGCTAAGAGTTGTAGTTATATCTCAGGCTTCATTTGCATCTTTCTGATTATACTGGATCACTAGCCTGTGGGACTTTCCTCTGTAAATTGCCCATTTTTGTTAAGATTTCTGTGTTTTTCTTGTTATATGAAGAAATTCCTTTTTTATTCTCCTATTGGTTTTAAAAATTGAAAAATATGTTCTCCCAAGCTGTCCATGAACTCGATCCCTGGCTAACAGGAATTTGTACAAGAGAATCCTTTATTTTTATACAATCCAATTTCTCAGGACTTGGGGATTTTGATGGTGAAATGTCCTTCCTGCTCCTAAAAATCAAAGATACATTTTCTTCTACTGCCATAATACTTTTGCTTTTCACATTAGTCATTCATCCATGTGCAAACAGATTCACCTCTGTGTGTCATTTTAGGTTAGAGTCTAGTTTTATTTTTCACTATATAGTGAGCATTTTCTTTTAGCAGTTTTAATGACAGTTGCATATGAGATTACTCAACTCTCCTCCTGCATCTCCTCAATTGTTCCTTCCTTAATTTGTCCACTTTCATTTGGGTGAAAAAATCATTTTTTTAAAATCCCAGGGTCTTATATACAGTAGGTAAGCACTTGAGCCATTCCCCCAGCCCTTTTGTTTGCATTTTGTTTTTGACATATGGCCTTACTAACTTTGTCCCTGCTTGTCTTGAACCTTCCATCCTCCCGCATCTGCCTACGTGGTAGGTGGGATTACATGTGTGTACCACCAGACCTGGCCCATTCAAGAATCTTTTTGAGGTCTGTGACCAGTTTTAGCCTGGTGACAACCACCCAATGCTGGAGTGAATGCCCACGGGGACATCTGGATCATTCCCCTCTTCCCAAGACCCAATGTCTTCCAGTAAACCTGGACTACTTATCCAATTTGCTCACTTTTATTTTCTCCCTGCGCAACCTGAATTTCATCATTCCTTCAGATGGGCACGATGAACACTGCACATGCGCCTTAGCTCTTTGACAAGTAGAAGAGACATGATCTTCCTGCAAATGTGGGAAGGTGTGTTGAAATGCCTTTTACAGTTCTTGCTTCAGTCAGAAATCACAAAGAGATTGAATGCCATCTTGGCCACTGCTGGTTCAATGATGGCCATGAAAGAGAAAAGCTACTGAGCATTTTGTACTAACACTCGATGCTTTCCTTGTTGACCTGGGCATCACCTCTGTCTTATACTAAATGGCCATGTAGGTGGCACTGTCTCTAATTTTTCTATTGTGTTTCAATGGCTTTTATCAATACCTCTATTTTTATTACTGTTGCTTTGAAATAAGTCTTTTTCAACCACGACCTTATCTAGTAGGGGAGTCTTCCCGTCCATTGTTCCTTTACAATTTTGGCTTAGATACTCGTAGACTTTAATCTTACATATATATTGTATAATAGGTTTATTATTTTTTTTTAGAAAATGTATTTGTAAAGCTCACACTGACCTCCTCCATCCAGACATCAGTGGAGACCCACAGAGACAAGAAAGAAGCACCCACTCTTCTTTCCTGTGTCCTCAAAGGCTTATTATTATTGTCATTGTTGAGATTGGTGCTTCTGTGCAGAGGTGTATCCTGGCAACTGCAGATGTGAGGTCCTGGGACCTGAGTGCAGCCAGACCCATCTGAAGCTCCAAGTCGGTGACCACCAGGCCACACACACATATCCAGGGTGTCTAAGACTTGAGGTAGAAAATGAGTGATCTGAAAAGTCCCGCAGGAACCTCAGTATGTCCAAAACACTTCTCTCTGTGGGCTGCAAGCTCATACCTTACAGAAATCCCTGCTGCAGGAACTGGAACAATTGCCTTGGTCTCAGCACCTTCTCACCATCCACCTGGAGCATCACCAAGCTTTGGCCAGAGAATTTTTGTGCCCATCCTGAATGAAGACGTAGCCACACCCTGCTAATTGTTCCCTCTGTTCTACCGCAGCCCCTTGGGATCCACCCTCCACAGGGCCGAAGGGATATTTCTGTCATGCACATCCAAGTGTATCTCCCTGCTCCTGGAGGATTCTCCTCTAAAAGGCTCCCCTTCCTACTTATCTGACCTGTGCTGCCCTCAGGCATGCCTCTTATGGCTCCCCAGGCTCACACCCTGTGGGACCCCCAGTCCTTACTTCCCTGACTGTGCTCTTGACCCCTGCTTCCCCATCAAGCCCTGCATCCCATCAGATGGAGGTTCTGCTCCTGCTGAGCAATGTGCTCTCTCATTGGGCCTGTCCTCCCAGAACCGGGGGCATCTGTGCCATAATATCCCAACTGTTCTGTCCTGACCCTGTCACACATGGTTCTCTAAGAGAGCAGTTATTGTACAGCGATCCTGGTTCCATTCGTTTTGGTGTTTCAGAGAGGAGCCATGCACAAGACACACGGAGTGAGACTTGGTGTTCGGGTGCTCCCAAGGGGCTTGCTCTCCGCGAGTGTCCTGCGCCTGGCGCACAGTGGACCGTCTCAGGGGATGGATGACTGAATGTCTTGTCCACTCTACCCAGAAGCAGGCAGGAGGCCACCATGAGGCGCGTCCCTGATAGAGGAGGTGGCACTACTCCTGCGTCCTTCGGAAGAGGGCGCTGCTCACCCGCGGGCGAGGCCAACTTGGTGGCGGGGGCGGGGGCATGGGGACGCGGCGAGGATGGCAGTGGGGGCGGGGCGGGCTGCCGGGGGCCCCGGGCTCACTTGGGCTCATTTCGCTTTCGCTTTGTGCAGTTTGTAGGCGGCGGGGCGGCCCCCGAGCCCCTGCGGCCGGGCACTCCGAGAGTTAATCCGAAAGCGCCGCAAGCCCCGGGCCGGACGGACCGCACGTGTCACCGAGAAGCTGATGTAGAGAGAGAGAGAGAAAGCAAGACACCATAGTCCTGGGAAAGTCCTGCCGCGCCACGAGACAATTATAAAAATGTGGCCCCCTGAGTCAGTCTCCCAACCTCACCTGCTGCGCCCACCGCCCGCGTCCAGCGCGCACTCAGCGTCCGCAGCGCCTGCCCAGCATGCGTCCAGCGCGCAGTGAGTGACATGGGCGCCAGGGCAGGGGTGGCTCCTCGGGGAGGGTGGCCAAGGCGACCTGGGGGGCAATCGCTCGGCCTCCGGGCCACCGGGGACAAGCGGGAAAGGAGGACCCCGCGCTCACCCTAGGCTGCGCTTACTCTTCTCATTTTTTAACAGCGGGTGAGTGATCATGATGCCCACTTCACAGATGAGAAACTGAGGCCCGACCCGGGTTGTGGCGGTACTTGGGTTTGAGCTCTGGGCCTCGCGCCCAGCCCATTTATGTGTAGGGTCTTGCCTACTATTTACGCATCCCTTGCAGCTGGCATTATATGGGTGAACCACCTGGCCCGTCTTTGGAAGCTTTCTTGTCTAGGTTTCTTAGGCTACAACTCTAAGAAGGCAGCTCCTAGCTGCTCCAAATGGAGACATTGTCACCCTACTGTTTCCACAAGACATGATTCTGAGTCTGAACCAGTCTCTTCACTACTTGGCCTCAGTTTCCCTATTCAAAAAATGGAGGCTTCCTCTCGGGGAGGGCTGAGGCCCATACCCTTTCCCTAGCTCATCCCTGGCCCTCCTTGGGAGCTGGCTTCTACTCTAGAACAAAGTGGTGCTCTCCAGTTGATCTCTCAAGTGTGGAGAGAGGTTTTCAAGTGGGTGGGGGAGTTTGGTACCAAGAAGAATGGATGGGCAAAGATGACCAGAGTGCTAGAAGGTAGAGGCAGGCCAAGCCAGGATGACAGGCCCCGCCTGACTCTCATTTCCTTCCAGGCCTCCTCCTTGTGGCCACCCTTGTCTTCCTGGGCCACATCAGTTTGGCAAGGCACCTCCCCAAGGCCACACCAGTTGCAGGAAGCTTCCAGTGCCTCAACCATTCCCAAAACCTGCTAAGAGCCGTCAGTGATGCTCTTCAAAAGGTGAGTGCTCTTCTTCCAGCTTAGAAGGGGCTTCTCTAAACCCACACTGGTACTGCAGGGAAATGCTAGTTCATCCACAGCTGACAGGACACACAAAGGGAGATTTCCAAATAGTCCGACTTTTGCTAAAGAGTCGCAATGAAATTCTGTCCCCAGATAAAACCAGGGTGGTAATAAATTATGTCAGTCACTCAGGCTGTGTTACCTATGGCTTGCCAACATGAATGGAACTGTGTCAGACCCTCAGTTTCTCTGACACCACGTTTCTTTGTTTTTAATATGCTTTACTTTGGTCAGTTCAATCCCCTCTGTTACTCTCCCTTGCCTGAATAATGGAAGGCAGCTTCCATTATCCAGCAGCTTTTAGTACCTGTCGTTATGTCCTGAACCTGTGCAGATGTGAAGTATTTCCATATTGTTGACTGTCATTCTCTTTTCCTTTCCCTCCCCCACCCCCAAGATCCATAGTGTAGTTCCACTATCACAAACATATTCTACCTATAGATTATTGTCATGTTTGTTACTGTGTGTGTGTTTATCTTCCGTGTATGAGAGAAAACATGCAGCCTTTGTGTTTCTGAGCCTGGCTTACTTCACTAACATGATGTCCTCCAATTACGTCCGTTTACCTTCAAACCCCATAGTTTTCATTCTTTATTATGTGTTATGTATATATCTATGTATATCTCTCTATAAATAGATATCACATTTTTTTGATCCATTCATCAGTAGTGGAGCATCTTGGCTGTTTCCACAGCTTGACTATTGTGAATAGTGCTGCAGTAAACATGGGTGTGCAGGTGCCTTTGTTGTAACTCAACTTACATTTCTCTGGGTACGTGCCTAGAAGTGCTATACTGGGATATATGGCAGTTCTATTTTTAGTTTTTTGAGGAATCTCCATACTGCTTTCAATAATAGTTGTGCTAATTTATATGCCTACCAACAGTGTATAAGGGTTCCTGTTTTGCTGCATCCTCACCAACATTTGTTGGTTTCTTTCGTTCTTAAAGCTAGCCATTCTAACTGGGGTGAGACGAAATCTTAGTGTACTTTTGATTTGTATTAGTTTTAAAGGGAGCTGAGCAATTCTTCATGCCTGACACCACATGTTGATCCTGGAAGGAGTTAGTATATGTGTTATCTGTTCTGTGCAGGCTGCAAAGCTGGATTAGAGTATCCCTCCTGCTGATGGCAGCAGGTGTATAGCAAGGTGGTATGAGTGATGCCATTCCCTATCAGAGTTGCATGTCTCAGGGTGGACTGTGACAGTGAGTGTCCAGCTTTCATTTCCTAGAGGAAGACTTGTCTAATTTTATTTACAGCTTCATTCACTTTTAAAGTTTTGTTGTTTTTTTTTTTTGTCAGTACTGAGTTTGAACCCCAAGTCTTGCACTTACTAAGCAACCCATGCTTCTAGTCCTTTTTGCTTAAGTTCATTCTTCTTTGCCAAAGGGCCAGCCTCATGCCTCAATCCTCTTACTTCTACCTCCCACCTAGCTAGGATTATAGATGTGAGCCACCACAGCCAACCTTTTGGTTGAGATGGAGATCTTGTTAACTTTTGCCTGACCTTGAACGACTATAATCCTCCCATCTCTGCCTCCTGCATAGCTGTAATTTTCATGTTTTAATGCAAAACAAATCTTTAAAACTGCTCCAAGTAGCTCTTGCTTTTGCTGAAAAGCTATAGGAAAGACTGAAGTGTTAAAAGGTATCCTGGGGGTAGGCATATAGCTCAGTGGTAGAGCATTTGCCTAACTATGCATGAGAGCCTGGTTCTGATCCCCAGTGCCACACACAGACCCTTTGCCTTCCTGCTCTCTAGTAAATCTTTCTTGAGAATTTTCTAGCTTGTTGCCTTTTACATGTCTTAAAATAAGCTTAATGCCACTAGGTAGTCTCGAAGAATTCTTTTCTTCCTATCTAATCTTTCATATTGCACCACTGATTGCTCCTTGCAGTTCAATCAATCTTAATTAAAAGTGAGTCCAACAAGGGAAACCTGCAGAGATAAATGCTTTGTTTCCTGAAGAAGGGATAGATCTGGTCAAGATCTAGGAGCTCCAATTTAAATAGATGCTTTGTGTGAAAACACTAACTCTTCTTCTCCCAGGTGTAGAACTGAAGGTCAAAACATCACAGAATTCAGTTTGATAGTTTTTATACCAAGCCTTTGTCAAAATTGCCACTATGGAAAACAGAGGTGGTAAGCGCTTAAGACACACAGGCCATACCTAGCACGCAGATTTATAGAGTGTGCCCCATATTTTTTCATTTTATTTTCAATTTTTAAATTTGATACCATTGAAATATTGGACTTTTCATGTAAGAATCTAAACTTCCAGTTACCCTAAAAAAAAGTCTGAAGACTGCACAGGCTGCATCTCCATGTCTCTGTACAGCCAGCCCAAGCAGAGGGTGTCCAGTGCTGCCTGCTGCTTCCAGGAGTAGTATATGCACTTTCTGTTGGTGTTGTCACCAGCCATCACAAACATAGTGGCTTTAAACGACAAAAAATTATTATTGTTCAGCTCAGGATGTCAGAAGTCCAATGTGAATCTCACTGGGCTGCTTCTGTTTCTGAAGGCCAGAGGGCAGAAGGTGCTACCCAGCCTTTTGCAGCTTCTAGAAGCTATTGCATTCCTGGGCTCCACCTCACTTCCTCTCTCAAAGCCAGGTTGAGGGTGTAGCTCAGGAGGGCTTTTGCCTAGCATGTATGAGGACCACAGTTCAATCCCCAGCACAGGAAATAAATTAATTAAATAAATAAAAAGGCCACCAATGGCTGCTGTAGTCTTCCTCATTCTGTATCACTCTGATTGACTCTTCTGCCCCCTCCTCTCTACCAGTGAGGACCCTGTCGTTACATTGCGCCCACTCAGATAATCCAAGGTAATCGCTCTCTTGCAAGGCCAGCTAATTAACAATCTGAGGGTGGTCTGTATGTCACATCCCCCTTGCCATAGCACACAACACATTTCCAGGTTCTAGGGCTGGGGAATCCTTCCAGTCCTCTTGCAGCAGGTGCTAAATCTCCAGAGCTTCCCTCTCTGGATGCTGAGGATGGCGTGAAGGCCATCCTCAGCATCTCTCACCTGCTGGCACATCTCTGGTCTTTGGGACACCTGCCCGCCTCCACAGCTAACCTTGGGCATATCACAGTCCTCTGCTTTGTCATGTCCTAGTGCCTGGCACTCATCAGACTTATTGAATAGAAAAATGATCTTAGCTGTCAATCAGAAAGCTACTGACTTCTTCAGATACCTTGTGTAATTCTTCTGGTGTGCCTGTAAGGGGACATTCCTGTACGCATGCTGCATGCACATGTACTGCAAATTCAGTCTCAGCTCATCTTTAGGGTTGTTTTGCAGGTCTGTTATAGCTTCAAACTGTGACCACAACAGTTCTCCTTTAGAAGCTACACTTGCAAAAGGTATTCACAAAACACAGGTGCTTTGGTAAAAAAGAGAAGCAGTTTCACTAGAAGCAAGTGTGACATTGTGGCATAGATGTACAGCCTGTTGGGATGACATTAGTTACATCATGGAAAAAGATACCCTGAGAAACATGTCCTGAGCAAAGGGAGAGGATGGGGACAGAGAGAATGTAGGTGGCCTGTTTCCTTTTATGTTATGAAGAGGGTGAATTTCTTACAGGCCCAAGAGATGGAGGTCAAGGGCAGGCAGCTCCAGTTTTGCTGACACACTGGGATGCCACCTCACAGGGAGCCAGTGTCTTATTAGTTGCATCAACTGAGTTTCTCTTCATGCTTTTTACAGGCCAGACAAACCCTAGAATTTTACTCTTGTACTGCTGAAGAGATCGATCATGAAGATATCACGAAAGACAAAACCAGCACAGTGATGGCCTGTTTACCACTGGAACTAGCCAAGGTATAGATGACTTTCCTCCCCAAGCATGACACACAATTAAAAGTACTGAATCAAAATTCAGTTGCCTCAGCCTTCTGGTACTTATCACAGGCTGTGTTCTTACTCTGACTGTCTAGAAAGAGAAGGCAAAGTAAGCCAAGCCCATATACACCTCAGCCCAGGCTCTGTGCCTGGTCTGTATTGTGAATAGGGAGATATGGGGTGGGAAGAAAAAAACTTCATTTGCCTCCTTCCAAACATTTGCATGTTTCTGGTGCCCATCAGAAGTTAAGTTTGGGGGAAAAAAGTGTCAGAGCAGTATGAATACAGTGAACTCCTCTAACGTCTACATTGAAAAGCAGCTAAGATGATGAAATTTATGTTACAGTTTTTGCCGTAACAAAAAGTTTGAGGTAAAACATCAGATTTATGTTAAGAATTAATATCGTCAATGTATATTTCTTTTGTCTAGAATGAGAGTTGCCTGGCTTCCAGGGAGACTGTTTTCATCACTGTAAGTGAAAAACTATAGGTTTTCTCCTATATGACGAATTTGGGGATTTTTTTTTTTTGTGGGATTGGGGTTTAAACTCAGAGTTTCATGCTTGCAAATTAGGTGTTCTACTGCTTAAGCCATTTGCTGAGGTTGGAGATGGGATTTCTTGAACTATTTGCCCAAGCTGGCCTCAAATCATGATCCTCCTAGTCTCGATCTCCCAAGTCGAAGTTTACAGGCAGCTTGAATCCGTATTATTGATGACTGATTATTCTTTCCTCTAGAATGAGAATTGCCTGGCCTCTGGAAAGACCTCTTTTATGATGGTAAGATACCTCTCTTCCTCTCAAATGCTCTGGGTGTGTGTGGTGGGGAATGTTTGGAGCCTGTCTCAATGGTTTCCTCCCCATTTTGTCATGTCACCTAGACCTTGTGTCTTAGTAGTATCTATGAGGACTTGAAGATGTACCAAATGGAGTTCAAGGCCATGAATGCAAAGCTGCTGATGGATCCTAAGAGGCAGATCTTTCTAGATGAAAACATGCTGGCAACTATTGATGAGCTGATGCAGGTGAGGCCTCCTTTCTCTCTATGCGAGTGCCTTTTCCATGCTGATGATGGTCAGCCAGGGTCCTGGCTGAGGCTGTGGAAAGTCAGCCCTTGCTCGATTGGATGAGACCTGAAATTCCTCCTTCAAAAGCCCCTGCAGAGCCGCATCTGCAGGGAGACAACCTAGAGGGTGCCATTGGCAGGAACAGACACATGCAGAAGCACAGCCCTCCATTTTCTGACCACATGGTGTGCAAATGTTTTCATGCAATCTTAAATGTCATTCACACCAAAAAATGAGGTCTGTGCAAAGGAGGAAACTTCAAGAGAGTGAAGGCACTTGTCCAAGGTCACAAAGTCTCTAAGAGGCACAGCCAGGGTCCCCTTCAGAAGGATTCTGCTGTACTTACCTTCTTTCACCTCTGAAGGATCCCAAATGGACATGCAAGGGGCAGCATGCATATCTGCAGCTGGCAAGGCTGTGTTGGTCATGCCCCACTTGTAATTTACTGGGCCACCATGGCTAATATAAAACATACAAATAGGCACAGAAGAAAGACAGGAGACATACCTTGGTGACTAGGGCATGGGATGAAAATATGGTGGCAGAAATCACTGAAGTAACTGGTTTTTTATTTCATTCTTTGATTTCATTTCATGTGTGTGTGCCAAGGTACTTGTTTGAAAGGCAATGAACTTCATACAAGGATCAAAGAATGTTATCATGCAGAGAGCTATAAGTGATACTTCATTCATAGGACCAGGAATCAAGTGATCTGTGCAGTAGGATCGATTCTACCATTATCCAGATCACTATGCTCTCCCTGTTCACTCCTCTCTACTTCAGGTCGCTCCTCTGAGAAATGGGACCCCATGACATCCTACCTTTCTCAGGGACTTTTTGGGAGAAGCAAGTGAGATTATAGATCATCACGCAAACATAAGATCTTGTCTTAAAATCAAATCAAGGGGCAATATTGGGAAATCCATTGCTAGATTTATCTTATACAGATAGTGTTTCTACAGTAAGCAGGTCCATTGCTCGTTGTGAGTTCTGATCAATAACCATCCATTATCTCCCTGTTCTAAAAAAGACTGGGCTTCTCTTAATGTAACCTATAAAAAATTAATTAGATACTGTGGTAGGTGTCATCTTAACAGAACTGTGCCCTTCTAAAACACAGCTACCCTGATCATTTCCTAAGCAGCTCCCTGAAGATGTGTGTGCTTAGAAAATGAATATTCCCATAATGGAGGGAGCCAGCTTGTTCAAAATACACTGTATGCACATGTAGAATTATCACAATAAATTCCCTCATATTATCAATGCATGATGATTCAAAAATTAAATTTAACTTTACAGAAGTAAGTGAATATTCCTTCTCTGAAGTTCTGCCTGGACACCTGGGAGGGAGTAGATCCAGTTTTGGTTTAGGGATAGAAAGAGGTTCTAAGTTGCAGGCTCTGAGCTGTGTATCGTCTTTCTCCATTTTTACCAAAGAATGTTTTCATGAAATGCTATATGTGTTATACGCTCAATAATTATTCTTTTAGGCCCTGAATTCCAACAGTGAGATGGTGCCACAAAAACCTTCCTTTGAAGAGCCAGATTTTTATAAAACCAAAATCAAGCTCTGCATACTTCTTCATGCTTTCAGAATTCGTGCAGTGACCATCGACAGAGTGATGAATTATCTGAATTTTTCTTAAAAAGCTGGAGTCCGTCCCAATCTTCCAACCAAAGAAGTTTTAATAAGATATGGGTTAAGAACTGGGGAGGGGGAAGCTTGGCCTGGTCGTACATAGGCTCCTGTGTGAACCCTCATACTTCTGGTACCTTGGTGTGGCTACCTTGGAAGGCATCCCACTTGCCTCTGTGTGATCCCTTTAATCAGGTCTTTCACATTTTCTATGGATAATTTGTTTTTAGGTTTTCATGAGCAGATTCCTAAGGGGAGAAAATGTTTCTCTTTCCTTTTAATAGAAGAGCAATAATTGATAAGCTATTTCTGTACCAGAGTGCTTCTAGAAACACTCGGTCACATTTATTTAACAATATTTATTGATATATTTTTATTCATGAAAGCATGTGAACTAATTTATATTTATTTATTTTATATTTATTATAATATTTCTTATAAAATGGATTTGAAGCATGCCTTATAAAATGTTGTTAGAATAATAAAGTAATAAAATGTTAACAATTCTCCTGTGTTTCTAATTGGAACATTTCAGGGTTGAAATAAACATTGCAGGAAAACTGAAAACTGATGAAATTTGAACAAAATGACCTTACAAAGATGGCTACAATATCCTTATTAATTTCCCAGATCCCCTAGTCTCATTTTTACAGGGAACCTAGCAAGGCTAGCTAGGCTTCAGTACCAAGGAGACAGTGAGTTTGGTGTGTAAAAATTCGCTGTATTATTTTAATCAACCTCTGAGCCTAAAAGCAAAATGTACATAAAAATGTCCTCTCTGTTAACCACAGGTCCTTTCAAACCACTGAACACTCAACAAATACATCATAATACTCTTCAATTGGGAAAATATCACTTAGAGACTTTCTCGTTAAATTATTCTAATTTTTGTTACCCTTTGGGCTCTCCAGGGGAAGGTCTTTTTAAATTACAAACAGAAAAGCTCTCCATTTGCCTGAAATTGTACAGAATTTTCTGGAGCCACATGTATAATTGCCTTCCTTTGTCCTAAAAGATGTTTTCTTCGTGAGCTAAATATTAAATTCCATTTTAAAAATTTAAAAAGATTCTGCCACGGAATCCACATCACTTTAGTGCTTTGATGATCCTACTTCCTTTATTGGAAGAAGGCCATCACACACAAAATATTTCAAAAGACTGCCTTTCCTCAGTTGCTCCCCATCCTCAGCACCTGTACCCAAGGTGAATGTGAGCAGCCACTTTTGTGACAAACTTTCTCACTGTGCAAATTCACCCACTGCATGTTCATGGGAAGCCAGGGTCATCATACGTCTTCTTCCCATACAAGTCCGATGGGCATTGGGAGCTTCAAGGACAGGGTCCTCTCCTTTCAGGAATTGGCCAAGCACTTTGATCTGGGAAGATTCTCACTCAGGCTGTGCAGTTGCTGCCACTTCTCACTGAAAATGGCATCTGCTTATTATCTGGGCCCAGAAACAAAGGACAGTCTCATTCATGGTCTGGGCCCATGTAGAGGAACACACAGCATCTAGAAATTACCATGAGATAGGCCTCAGAAGCATGACTAGAGCAGAGCGTACATTCCTGGAAACCTAGTATGAAAGAGGATGAAGTCTGGGAATCCAGAGATGAAGGCCAGCCTGGGCTCCATAGCAACACCCTGTCTTAAAAAAGAAGCATGACTGGCCCAAGAGATGTCTTCAGGACTAATTCCATTCCTTATTGCATGCTTTGCTTTCCACTTCTTCCTTTGAGGACTGCCTCTGCAACTTACCAGTTGAGTAGCATGACCAAGAGGTTTAATGGCTCCCTCCCTGCATCCTCTTGTCAGAAGGATGTATGAGAGTAAACTGGAAAAACCCAAGCAAAGCACTAGCATAGTGCCTGCCAGACGCTCAGGGCACAATAAAAGTTAGCAAAATATGAAATTTATTATTAGTCTTTGGGCTGATCACCTAGCCAAATTGGTGAAGCCCTGCAGACTGTACAGCCCCCTTCCTGGTGTCATTGTGAGAATTAAAGGTCACAGTACAGCACTGGAGCCCAGTGGCTACTCCAGGTCCACTTGTTAAAGCTCTGAGGTCCTTTGCTTAAAGACTTTACCACATTCCTGTCCTTCCAGAGCACCCTGCATAGTGAGCACAAGAGTCACACAGGAGGCTGCTTGGGGCAAGATATAGTGCAAAAGCAAGATCCCTACCTTGCAAGAAAAAAGGGTGGGAGAATACCTTAGTAGGTCCAAGGCCTCCTAGAAATACTCGGGCCATCACAGCTCATTAGAGAATCACTTTACTAACAATCTACTTCATCAAAAAGGAAACGAGTCTTAAAAGTGTTTCCTATACCTGAGAATGACTTCATCGTGGGAAACATTTAGCTGGCAGTTGCTCCTCCCTGCCTCCACCCCCTCCCCCCCCAACTCAGGGACCAGAGGTTTGGGAACAGAAGATAATGCTGGGGAGGTGCTTGGCTGCACATGCAAAGGTAGTATTGGAAAACTCAAGAGAGGCAAAAAGACCCTAGACTCTCTATGAACATATGAATAAAGAAAAAAAAAATTACAACCTAAAAAAAAAGACAGAAAGCTTAACTGGAGCCAGCACCAACAGCTATTAGGAGTCCCTTTGGCTATGTCACCAGAGTCATTCTGTTGTCCTTGTTGGAGTAACATTTGTTTCTAGCTAGTAACATTTTGACTTCATGTAAGACAAAGTGCAAATAATATTTAAATTAAAATACTCCAGCTACATTTTCCAAAAACCAAATTGTAGGTACCTATATTTTACAATAAAAATTTTCGAGTCTAGATGTGGTGGTATCAGCTACTCAGGACCAGAGGCAGGAGGACCACTTGAACCCAGGAATTGGAGTCCATTCTGAGCAACATGAGACCCTGTCTGAAAACTACCTTTTTTAAAAAATTGGATTTGTACCAACTTTTTGGTTGAAATGTATTTCACAGCAATAAACACAAAAAATTCAGTTATATTTATGTATCTTCAAGTTTGACATTAAAAATTTGCATGTAGGGACCACATATGGTGTGGTACACCTGTAATCCCAGCACTTGGGATGACTGGAGTTCAAGGCCAGCCGAGCTCTCAAAAAATATATAATCAAATTAAATTGAAATTGAAATAAGATGTGGCTTAGTGGTAGAAGGCCTGCCTAGCATGCATGAGGCCCTGGGTTTGGCCTTCAGCTCCCCAAAACAAACAACAAAATGCAAATGTGAATTATAACATCAGTATAATAGCAGAGACTTTATTCGTGGAGTCTTTTCAGAAAAAATAGTTAATGATCTGTGGGCTTGCTAAATGCCAGGCCTGTTTCTAAGTGGTTACCACAGATGGATACAGTTCCCCAGGAACACTCATGATACAAAGGTGCCTGAGTGGAAGGCCATGTAAACTCATGCAGTGACTGGGTGGAAGAAGCCTAATTTGCACCCGTGAACTCAGGTGGCCTGATGTCAGCCTGGCATGCCCCGCTGCAGCCTCTTGCCTCTCATATTCAAGTCATGGTAAGTCAGGGGACACTGCCTAAAGCCATCCAGTCATCATGGTGATTGAGGTCCCTCCCCTCCGCCTCATGACACTGTGAGACCCTCAAGTAGGTCATTTTCCATAAGGATTTGTGTCTCCAGCACCTGGCCCCCCAAAATGGGAGCGAGAAAGGAAGTTTGCATGGAGTACACGTGTTTCTCATTTCTTTTTCTAAGCAAAGTAGAAGCAACAAGGTCTTTAGCCTTTGAAGAGAAAATTATTTCCAATTATCAAAAAAAGGTTAAAAATAAAAATGCTTGATTGATTCAAAATAATTGCATATTTGTAATCAAGGAAGACCCCAAATTCTTAACCCTATTGATTAAGTTAAAATAATGTAAATATCTGTGGTTTGGGGTTCTGTGGTTACTGCCCTAAGAAACATTTTGTTAACAGAGCATACCACACCCAGAAACTGGAAAGTGGTTTCCTTCCTGTGCAGTTGCAGAGGTACCCCTGGGTTGGGGATGTAACTCAGTTGGTAGAACATTTGTCTAGCGTGCATGAGGCTCTGGATTCAATCCCTACCACTGCCAAATATATATAAATATATATATAAATATAGATAGATAGATTCCTACACAACAGCTTTAAGCAACCCAAGTGTGTGAGTCAGATTTTATTGCTGTGTCAAAATGCCTGAGACAAACAACTTAAAGGAGGAAAGATTTGTTTTGGCTTACAGTTTCAGTAATTGTCACTTGGTTTTGTGCGTCTGAGCCCATGGTGAGGCAGGGCACCATGTGGGAGTGTAGTGGAGCAAAGCAGCTCACCTCATGGCAGGGAGGAGAATAAGAGACGGGGCAGGGGTCCCAATGGACTACTGAAGGGCACCTCTGAGACCTACTTCCTCTATCTATCTAGGCCCTGTTACCAAAAAGTTTAGTGCTGGTTTACCTGGGTTCTTGCATCCAGCAAGAATCAGAATTCAGATAAGAAGTAAAAATGACAGCAAAGTTTATTAGGAAAGAAATTTAGAATAACAGGGTAAAAGTAGGGAGAAATGGGAAGAAACATTTGTGCTCCCCATTCAGGAAATGGGAGTAAAGACTCAAAATAGCAGTCCTCAGCTCTGGTCTTATGCTTTCCAAGATGGGTGGATACACATGGTCATATCTAGCACCCAAATCACTAAAATAATGGATGTGGGTAGCTAAGATGGGTGTTGAAACAGGCAGATATCATTTAGGTTCAGTTTTAGGACTTCCTTTGCCAGACATGCCTTTCCCTCTACCCATTCAAAGAGCCTTGCAGCTTGTTAACAACTCAAAGAGGAAGCCGGGAGCAGACAGCTCCATGTGTCTCCCTGCTCTTGTAACTTAGCATCTAAAAGGAGGTGAGAGGGGGTGGCTAGCTGCTCTGGCTTTTCAGTTTTTACCTTTTCATTTCAATGTCTGAGTCTGGCCCTTTCAGTATTATTAAAGTAATATAATTTCCCTGTCTCCTCATCTGTCTATCTTGCCTCACCCCATCTCTCATGGCTAACTACTACCTCATAGACCCCACTTCCTGAATTTCCTGCCACCTCCCAGTAATGCTGTCACCTGACGACTAAGCCTTTACCAGATGGCTGTGGGGGACATTTCAGATCTAAATTATAGTACCAAGCAATCCTCCCATATGCTGATTTCCACACTGCCCCTGACAGGAGCAGGTCCTGACCAGCAGGGCTCCTGGTAACCCCTCAAAACCCCTTCCCCTGATGCCCCCTATCAGAGCAGCTCCAGGACTGAGTCCTTTCCCAATGCAGGTTCCACATAGGACTCATTGC